CCTGCACGGTGGCAGGACGGGGCCCCGCCCAGGCCTCACCTGTTGCAGGTGGAGCCTTTGCACTTGTCCTTCATCTTGGTGTCACATCTGATGACTTGGGCTGGGAGAGAAGCACAGAAACACGTCACGGCAGGAAAGCAGGAAGGTGCGTGTAGGGCTAGAAGACCCCTCCCCACTCTGAGGCACAGTCCAGAACGTTCTGTAATCCGTGCCATAACAAGATCAAGGGCAATGCCTAATTACCGCTGGCCCTAGGAGGGAGCCTTGAACCCCAGACCCGCCACTCTGTAGTAGCAGTGTGACTTCGGACAAGTGACTTCCCCTCTCTGAGGTTCAATTTCCACCCATGAACACTGAGCACGGTTACAATTCCCACCGCCAAGGTTTTTTGTGAGCATTAAATGAAAAGGTGAACTTGGCTGTGGAAGTTCACCACCACGTGTCCGTGGCCCCATCGGGTTCTGGAGGGCAGGAGTCTTAACTAAGGAGCTAAGGTGGACACTGTTCCAAGCCCACGGGGCAGGGGGCCCAGCCGTGCTCACCCACGCTGTCTCCCCATTGGCTAAACTTTCCTGTTTTGTTAATTTCATAGGGACATATCAGAGTCTTGCAGGTGTGTTAAAGTTTTGAGAAGAAGTGATATTATATGTTATTAAAAGAAACGATGACACCAGTTAGACTTCTGGATCCATAAAGGTGCCAGCATATCTCCTGGTCAAAGGAAGCTATGGAAAGATGGACTGTCGAGGAGAGAGACATGTGAAGGCCCGAGAGGAGCTGGCCCCCACGCTGGTGCTCTGCATTCTGCCTGAGAGAGGCCAGTGCTTCTCAGAGGAACCCAATTTCAACCCAGGTCCCCTTTGAAAGGATGAGGGAAGGTCTAACCTTAAAATACCCACTGGGGCAGGAAAAATGCCACCCAAGAGCAACTCCTATAATGCTTGCTTTTGAAATGACATAAAAATATCATTTTTAAAAAACGTCTCAGGGCGGTGCTTTTGCAAGCTTTGCCCCACCCTGTTCCCCACTGTTTGTCAACCTGGAGGCCTCTCAACCCCAGAGGTGGCTCAGAGGGCAAGCTGAGGCAGGGGACGGGGCAGGATGGGGCAGAGGACGCCCGACTCACTCATGTAGCTGACCGCCGAGGTTTTCTTGGGCTTGGTGGGCCTGACCACCCTCGGCTGGACCCAGACGTGTTTTTCTTCAGGAATGGGAGCCGTTTCCACCTCGTTCATCTCGTCGGTTTCAGGTTTATGGTGGTAGGTCTCTTCTTAACAGCGGCGGGGAAAAAGAAAATATATCACACAAGATTCAACAAAAAATGCACTTGAGAGGGAAAAGGCAATTTGAAAACTGAACTTGTTTGAGGTTTGGTTTTACAAAGAATCATTTCAGCTGCAAAGAGAAAGTTATATTTCAGAACAGACCCGGCCAGGTGGAATCCTACCGGCCAAGATGAGCTGGATGGGTTCTCTGCTTACTGTGTTTGCTTTGGCCCCAAGAGCAGCTGGCCTGACCAGAGGTTAGAAGGCCCTGGCGCCCACACCTGGATTATCATAATGGCTTCTTGTCCCGCCTCCTCCATGCAACCAGCTGCCCAAGGAAGGAGCTTTCAGAAACAGCCCCCATCACTGACCCAAAGCTGGAACTGTCTCTCCTGTGGGTCCCCTGCCCCCAAGTTTTCACTGGGGACAGGGTCTTCCTCATCACGCCCCCAATCAAGGGCACAGAGACCAGTGGTCATGCTCTTAGGAGCTGCTGCCCTGCCCCACCGGCACATTCTGGTCCTTTCTCTCCTGCTGCCAGTCAGGACCATCTGACCAGCTCAATTTCTTTCTCTACCCCGGAGTTTTGCTAATAATGTTGGAATCATCATGCCGAAATACCCAAAGACCCAATTCCTGGTTAAAAACAAAACTGTAGTTCACCAGGTCCCAAACTTCCTGCAGGGACAGTGTATATCATCTCCTCAGCGATGGCCGTGAATTCATGCCTGGAAACAGTTTAATTAACTGAACAAATTGTACTTACTAAGCATCAGTTCACTTATCTTCCAGTTTTTGTCTCGAAAGACAGTGACAAACTGCCCATCAGAACCTGCATCCAGACCCCCAGGACACCCAGCCGTAAATTCCAGCCACAGCAAAGAAACTAACTGAGATTTTCGTGGCCTTGGCCTTGTGTGGCTTTATCCAAGGTGAACCATGGGCATCTCTGCCAAGGGACCCCTCTCTGCCATGCCTTCAGACACCCTCAGACCAGGTCTGGAAACCCTGCCTCTCAGGGGGGTTGAAGGACACAGACATGGATGTGTCCAGGTAAGAACCATCTCAAGAAGGAAGAGCCCCTCGCAGGCCTCTCTGTGGTTTAGATTAAAATCCAAGCTTCATCAGGGGTGGCGCCTGTGGCTCAAAGGAGTAGGGCGCTGGCCCCATATGCCGGAGGTGGTAGGTTCAAACCTAGCCCTGGCCAAAAACTGCAAAAAAAAAAAAAAAAAAAAAAATCCAAGCTTCATCAAGTATTTATTAACCCCTAAATCTTATTTCTACTCCTTAAAAGCAATGAGCTCCTTTGGGTAAAAGGCAGACTAAGAGTTTTGCGTCTACACAACAAACAAGTATCTGACGGGCAGGAGAGTGAGTCTCAGTCTCTGATGCTTCCCGAGCTGGTGCACCTGCAGCTTTTCACTGACTAATTTGCTACCCCACGGCCACCACTTCAGGCGAAACTTGTCCCAAGAGGAGAGTAGCTGGGTCTCAGCCAAAAGGTAACAAGCAACCCTGAGCCCCAGTTCCATTCTGAGGCTCACGGATCACCCCATATTGCTCCTAGCAGCATGGGCTGCCATGCCCCACCGTCTACTTATCCACCAGCTGCAAACTCCTGGGGACAGGGGCCAGCCTACTTCACACCCCACTGCACACCTGGCACCTGGCACAGCGTCCCTGGGACCTGCATCCAGACCCCCAGGACACCCAGCCATAAATTCCAGCCCAACAAAATTTGCTGAATAATCAGCACCCCCCTGAAAATTCTATCCCCTAAAGAAAAAAAATGTGCCCAGCATTGAAGACTGAAGAGGTTCAAGAGGGAAACTCTGAAAGCACCACTGGTAGCAAAAGCTATAGGTGGGAACTTCGGGAAGATGCTGGGTTTGCAGAGGCTGCCGGACGCCCGTCCACTCTCCCTGTCAATGAGCCCATTCAGGTTTGGCCTTTATGGAGAGCTGGAGCTGGCTCCGGAGTCAGCGGGCTTTCTTCCATTGGTCTTTAGAATGTTTAAACCTCATAATCGCAGCTTTATTTAGCCGAATGTCCTTTGGTAAAGCAGTCTGAAGCGTTTGAGGGCTCGCTATTTAAGAAAACGGGCAGACAGTCCTTGCCCTCAGACACACACATGGGAAGTAGCGCGCTCACCCAGAGCCCGGGCTGGATATGAGCACATCATCATGATGCCGCCCTGTGCAAAGCTGGGGAAATTCCGTGCAGAGTTCACTACAAGGTTGTGGTCCACGCTGGCCAGCTCTGGGCCAGGGGTCTCGGGCTCAGAGTTTCATTTCCATCACTTTGTGGGTTCTCACCTGGTTCTAAAATTGGTAACAAAGCTCAAAGCTTGTGTTTACTGAACACGGACCAAGCGCTGGCTGGGCTCTCCTTGGCACTTTGTCATGTTAACTTCTGGTGCCTGAGGGGGCAGGACTAGCCCCATTTCACAGATGAGGAAACTGAGGTTCAGAGAGGCTAAGTGACCTGCCCAAGCTTGAAGAGCTGGGAGTCAAACTGCCTTTTCCTAAAGCCCACACCGTTTATCATCACACAGGGAGGGCCTGGGTGGGGAAGAAAATCTCTTTTTTAATAACCTTATTCCTGCTCTGTCTCCATTAGGGGTCAAGACCTCATCAGGCTCCCTCAATGCACACTTATTAAGGAGCTTATGCAGATAAGCTGCTTTAGAGCAGACTTTCTGCGTGGTTAGCTAAGAAAATTGGGATGCTTGCCCAGTGGAGTTGGGTATTTTCCACCAAAAATAAAGAAATAAATACCCAGGGCCTTGTTGGGTAGGTCTAAGGTCTCTCTGTGTGTGCTTGTTCTCTGAAAATGACTCTGGATATTAGGAGTATATTTTTACTCAAACATCGTGCTGAATACCTGGCCGTGTGGCCCTGCTGGCACTGGAGTGAGCTGGCAGTCAAGGTTCATGAGGAGTCTGGGGGCCGTGAGCATGGAACAGGTGCACTGTCTGTGACACCAGAGCCACCACACGTGGGGCACAGCCCCAGGAACCAGGCGCAAGCTGGTTTATCAGGGCTGGTTTTGCAGACAGAGCCGTCCCCTCCCTTGATGTCCAGACCATTCTACCCTCATTCCCTCCCAGATGTCCCCTCCATAAGTGGGCAGGCTCAACTGTGAACAGCGGGCCAGGGCAACAGAGAGGGTCTGGGACCTGCCCTCTAGCCCACTGGGTCTTTACCCCGGAGCCCTCCCACCCGCCCACCCCTGCCTGTGGAGCCCACCCAGCCCTGAGAGGTCTTTTAGTGGCAAGGAGGCTGCAGGGAGAGCCATAAAAACCCAATCTCAGCCACAAAAACCTGGTCTGCCCCTCGGCCCAGATAGGCCCCTCCGGGGAAATAGCTTCTAGGATCCTGAGGAAATATTCCAAAACGTGATAAATGCTCTAGGCATAAAAAATCGCATGCTATTTATAGCAGTGGAACCAATGGAAACATCCTAGATGGCCCAAAACAAAGCCCGGCAGAGCGAGGTAGGGGTCACTGTGCCTGTCGCCAGGGGCTCCCCAGGCCAGTTGTTCACTTTCACTGGCTTGCTCTTTGTTTTGGATCTAGCTGTGAACGCCGCCATGGTGAGGGACGTGTCTCCCCTGGACACTGTGTCCAACGCCTAGTGGGGCTTCTGGCCCAGGAGAGGCCCTGTCAGGGCTGTCAGGGCCTCTCAAGGTCTTGGGGGGGGGCTTTAATGTCTCTGCTGCCTTTGGCCCCTCTATAGGACATGCTCTATGACTCAGACTGAGGGGACAGTCCGTGCACAGGGCTTGGGGGTGTCTCCTACCTCGGTAACACAAGTTGTTCCTGCAGCCGCCTCCATAGCTGGGCGGGCACTGGGAGCAGGGCCGGCCAGTTTTGTAGGGGGCTTCTCCGATCCAGTTCCCCCTGAGAACAGAACAAACACAGCATCAGGAGGGCCATCCTGCAGGGACATGCCCTCTTCCCAGGCCCACGTGGGCCCCCGCACAGTCACTGATGGTCAGGGGAAGTGTGCGCTGTACAAAGGAGAAGGTCCTGGGCCCCTCTGTGCATAGAGACCAGGGAATTCTAGAAGTCCCCAGATGCTCCTCCACCTAGCACCTTTATCCTGTCTCACTGTCAGCCTCAGACACCCCCGTGGCCTCATTTCTACCGCTGTTACCTCCTTGCACACTCTAAACACCACCAGGCCCCTGGAGCCCAATGCCTCTTTGCGGAAAAGCTGCCAGGTTCCCCCTTTAAGCCCTTTCTCAAATAGGCAAAATCATCTTGTTCCAGGGACAGCTCAGGTTCACCAAGTTCCTGCCACACCCAGCCCTGGCCTCTGTACTTCACTGTGCTCCTCACCCCCACCCCCAGCACCCTGGGCAGGAAGAGCTAGAATCTAATCCTGTAGAGGAGGAAACTGAGACACAGAGAGGTGAAGCTACTTGTCCAAGGTCACACAGCAAGCAAGTGGTGGAACTGGGATTTGAACACAAGCCATTGGGCTCAGAACCCTTGGCACACTGTGCTCTAGAGGCTGGGTCAGAGGTCCCTCTGAGGGTCACAGATGCCTCCACCTCCCTCTGGCACTCCCAGGTCCGGGTAGTAGGTGAGCAGGATTCCTAAGCCCCTTCTGAGCTCCCAGGCCTTTGGCAGTACAAGCTGGAGCCATGAGTGACTGAGGACCAGTCTGTGGGATTCATTCTAGAAAATTCTTTCCTGGCTACTCAAACATCATTTGTTCAGTCCGTAAAGAGGTCCAGGGCCTGTCCTGTGTCAGAGGAGGCTCAGTAGTTTTGCTGCAATTATCCTGGCCCCCATACAGGTAGCTCCCACTCCCCACTCCCCGCCTAGTTCTGCCTTGTATCTGGGGCTACCTTTCCTCACTGACACTCCTGGGTCAGCCCTAATGCTTGGAGCTGGCCTTTCCTGAGGCAAGGTGGGCACCAGGCCCTACAGATAGACTGTCTCCTGAGGGCATCAGCACTGTGCTGCCCTCACATCCAGGCCCTCAAGGGACGAGCCCCAGAATCAGAGATGAGCCTCGCACCATACATCCCATCCCTGGTCAGCCACCACCCCTTCCCTGGGGGGCAGTGCCTGGGGCAGTGTCCAGCACAGCCCAGTGGCCCAAGTTTTTCTCTTACAGAAAGAGCTATGGACAGTGTGGACTCTCATGCAGCAAGAAGAGATATATAACCTATGTTTTACCACATGTAGTTTGTTCTTTTTCAACGGGGAAGAGCCAGTGAACACACAACACCACGGAGGACCCTCATGCACGTGACTCTGAGCAGAACACCAGGTGGGGCACAGAGGGTGCCATAGGAACATAGCCCCACTCAGGTACGGCTCTGAACCAGACATAACTAATCCATGGGAGGGCTGTTAGGATGGTGTTGCTTTGGGTGACACCAGGGAGATTTCTGGGGCTCTGGAAATATTCTCTGGCTAGATCTGGATGGCAGCCACACTGGTATATGCCCACTGCTATGGACTGGGTGCACCCCAAACTCATATCTTGAAGCCCTAGCTCCCAGTGTGACTATATCCAGAGACAAAGCCTTGATGAAACGAATTAAGGTTAAGTGAGGCCAATGGTGGGGTCCTAATCCCATAGGATTAGTGCCCTTACGTCTCACTGCCACTTGAGGACACAGTGAGAAGGTGGCCGTCTGCAAGTCAGGGTCAGAGCCCCCACCAGAGCCCAACACTACTGGATGGTGATTGGAGGGCTGTTGTTCGAGCCACCCGTCTGCGGTACTTTGCCACAGCAGCCCCACAGATTAACACATGTGAAAATGTGTTGTGCAGTTGATTTCTTTGGCATGTTCTACCATATGTAAGTTATTCCTTTTTTAAGAAGAGGAGGTGGCTACAGAAAGGAAGCATTTCATTTCTGATAGACTCTTCTAGTGTATATTTTTATATAAATAGTTAAATCGCATTGTTACTTACTCCTCACACCTGCCAATCTGCCAGAAATTCCAGCACCTTGGAGGGGCCTGTGTCGCTCCCCAGCAATAACATAACCCCACTCTCATCCGTGTGGGCTGCTGAGACAGTGCCACCCGGTGTGCCGGATGGTTTCTGGAGAGCTTCTATTTTCCTCCAAACCTCAGCCATCCCCGCTTCATCCCACTTTCTCTCAGCACTCCTGACCCAAACCAAATAAATGAAATTCCCATTTCATTCTGTCACTGGGCAGACATGCCCTGGGCCCGCTGTGTGCAGGGCACAGGTGAGGATGAAGGCAGCTCAGCCAGTATGCAAACCGCAGGCACTGAATCAGACAAGCGATTCTCCAGGGATCGGCACATATTTGTCTGATGAATGATCAAGGCAAGTGAGTAAAGGGTTGATGATATCTTTGTATCATGATGATAGAAGTTTGCCGGAGGGGCCAATGATAGGAAGACGGATGTGGCCCCCCCTTAGGAGGGGGAAACACAAAAAACTAGGTGTGGTGTGAACATGTACTTTCTAGGGTGTTAGCCTTTGCACATTTTCAAAGAAAAAATAACACCATGATAGCAGACTCTGCTGGTTCCCCAAAGTCCTGCTTCGGACTCTGCTCAGGTGGTCCCAGAGGATGACTTCCAAATGCAGCTGGGGCAACCTTGTTCCCTAATCTGCAATCAGTTCAGTTCCAGCCAGTGACATAAAGAGAAGCATACAGGGATGAGAAACGCCTAAGGAGAGACCGTTTACTTTTCTCCTTCCCTTTGCTTGGGAAGATGGGATGCCGGTGCTCCGCAGCCCTCTTGTGACCATGAGGAGAAGATGGAAAGACAGAGGCTGAGTTCTCATTGACACTGCTGAGCTGTTAGGCAACCCGGACTCACCCAGCTCTAGCCTCCCTGTTAGGTGAGACAATGAAAAGACCTACAGTCGTGTGGACTTGTCCTTACTTCGGAGAGTAATTGCAGACGAGGTAGACCGCGTTCTCCCAAACGTCTCCCCAGACAGTCATCCTCCGGCAGGTGTTCACGGCACAGCCAACTTTGTTGGTGGTGGCCCAAACTATCTGAAAAGAGGACATTTGTGTGTCATGGCTTGAGGGATGAGGCACACCAGGGCAACAGAATCTGGCCTGGATCTGGAAGGTGCTGGCCCTCCAGGCGCAGGTGCTGAAGGAGCTGAGTTTCCCCCCAACCATGGGCCCATCAAACATAGGGGCCTTTCTTTACAACACACACACACGGCACTCAAACAAAAATCGCACATACAATGAACACGTCCCAGCAATGCAGAACCGCCAGCCACGTTTCTGGCGCTTACTCTTAGTTTCTGACCTTGCCGTGAACTGGTAACAAACAGCTTGTTCCACCAGCTGCACTTTGAGTAGCACCAAGTTAAAGGAAAATACTAAGGTGTTATGGATTTGGCAACAATCCTGGGGTGCGGGGGAGGTGAATGACTGCGTTGGGGGGCAGGGCGGAGGTACCTGTGTGTAGTGTGTGCACATGGCGCCCGAGCACCTCTCCGGACACCAGGGGTTGCACTCGTGGGGGTAGGGGTAGGTGTAGTCCTTCACCTCATCATACCAGGACTGCACGTGGAACCCGGGGGAGCGGTACCTGTGGGGAAGAAACCTGTCATGTCAGACTTGTCCTGTCCCAGTCACACACACCCCCAGTGGAGACTGCAGGGCGTGCGGTGTCAGGGAACAGCCCTGATTCTACGCAGCACCTGTTAAAGGTTCTTGACACCAGAAAGGTGACCCCTGCAGCACGTGTGTGTGCAGGAAGCTCTTACCTGCCTGTCAGGAGTCCTTTTTATATTAATTAGGTATGGTAGACCCTTCACAGTTGACCCCCTCCCTTACACTGACCACCTCCTTAAGCTGACCTAATTGTCACCTTAAGCTGACACCACATGTGCATGTCAGTACAGTAGGCCTAGTGCCTTACGGTGACCACATCTATGTGCTGACCAGTTTGTGACAGTACCCTGGGTGGTCAGCTTACAAAGGTCCCACTGCATTTACTTTCCTGTGCACTGGAGAACATATACAGCCCGTGAACCCCGTATTTCACGAATATTATGCTTAGGATGAAACATTAACAGGAGTGCATTTAAAATCAATGTAGAGGCTCAGTGCCTGTGCTCAAGCAGCTAAGGAACCAGCCACATACACCTGAGCTGGCGGGTTTGAATCCAGCCTGGGCCCACCAAACAATGATGGCTGCAACCAAAAAATAGCCAGGCGTTGTGGCGGGCTCCTGTGGTCCCAGCTACTTGGGAAGCTGAGGCAGGAGACTCGCTTGAGCCCAGGAGTTGGAGGTTGCTGTGAGCTGTGAAGCCACGGCATTCTACCCAGGGTGACGGCTTGAGGCTCTGTCTCAAAAAATAAAATAAGATAAAACAAAATAAAGTAAAATCAATGTAGAGAAAGGTATTAACTAAAAAATCGAAGAGGTGGCTGGGTGCGATAGCTCACGCCTACAATTCCAGCACTCTAGGAGACCGAGGCAGATGGATTGCCTGAACTCAGGAGCTGAAGACTGGCCTGAGCAAGAGCAAGACCCCGTCTCTACTAAAAATAGAAAAAACAGCCAGGTGTTGTGGCAGGCGACGGTGGTCCCAGCTACTCAGGAGGCTGAAGCAAGGGGATCACTTGAGTCCAAGAGTTTGAGGGTGCTATGAGCTATGATGCACAGCACTCTACCCAATGTGACAGTGTGAGACTCTGTCTTAAAAAAAAAAAAAATTAAGAGGTGACGCTCAGAGAGGATACCCACTATGGCAGGTGAGAGCATGAAAATTGGAAAATGGGAGACAGGGCAGAGGGGTCCCTGCCGGCTCCCGGAAAAGAGCCTCTAGCTAGCTCTGTGTTTCTGTATCGTCCTGACTGGCCTCATTCCTTACCTGCTGGGGGACCCAAGGACCCAGACCCAAGGCAGATAACTCACTTCCAAGTATGGAGACCTTTGCAGTCAGGTGCAAATGCCATCCCCCACCACATGCGGAGTAACCCTCAGCACCACTGACAGCTCCCAGGTTGGCCACCAGCTATATTTCTTCCTGCATGAGCTCCATAAGGGCACAGCTTGGCGGCCACGGCCCCCACGCTTCAGCCCTAGACCCCAGCTGCCAGATTGCCACCACTGTGGTTTTATAGGGTTTTTTGAGACAGGGTCTCCCTCGGTTGCCTGGGCTGGAACGCAGTGGCGTCATCATACCTCACTACAAACTCAAACTCCTGGGGTCAAGTGGTCCTCCTGCCTCAGCCTCTCATGTGGGTAGAACTGCAGGCACTGGCTAATTTTTCTCTATTTTTGTAGAGACGGGGTCTCACTCTGTTGCCCAGGTTGGTCTTACATCCCTGGCCTCAAGCGATCCTTTCCCCTTGGCCTCCCAGAGCACTGGGATTATAGGCACGAGCCACTACATCCAGCCCCGTTATGGTTTTTTTTTTTTTTTTAACCAGGAAAGAAAATAAACTGAATGCAAATCCACAGTCACATTGTCACCAGTGCAAACATAGTGGTTTCAATAAAGAGAAGACTCACAGAGGAAATGACCATTTGTAAGAGGGACGCGGTCAGCGAGGCGGTTAGAGGTCTTGTAACAATTACTGTTTGGACCCAGTATGAATGGCCGTGGTCAGCGGCATGCCCGAGAAGTGGCCTCCCCTCCGGGCTAGTCTGGAGGAGGACATGCACACAGCACGGGAGCAGGAGGGAACAGTCCCGTCTTCTCTCCAGACTCCAGGTCTCGTGGGTCACCAGGGCTGGTGCAATGGTGGAGAAAGGAACCCTTAGCTGTCTCCACGGCATACGGAGGGAGGAGGCTCTTTTGGAAAGCCAGTTAGCAAAATTCCTGGGCAAAGAGGAAGAAATCTCTCTGGCCTTTGACCCATGAATCCTACTCCTCGCAGTTCCCCGACTAAAGTAAGTCAAATGAGCCAAAGCAGAAAACAAAACAGAAAAACCAAGCGGCAGGAGCGGCTGGTGCGATCTTTGGTCGGCCATCAGGCAGCCCGTGCCGGACGGTGATCGCGACGTAACAGAAAACGATCTGATGCTGTCTGAGGAGGAAAAGATCTCAGGGCTGCCAGGCTGCAGTTACGCCACGTGAAAATATGTCGGCCTTTAGCCAAATGCTACAGAAGAACACCCAAAGTGAAAAGAGCTGAACCAGGCTGGTGGAATTATAGATTCTCCCCGCTTCAGACATTGTGTTGGTTTCTTTTTTTTTTTTTAAAGACAAGTCAAGTGCAGTAGTGAGAACGGGGGAAAGAGTAGACCAAGGAGTTCAATCTGTAACTGACCGTGAACAGTCAAGTGCGATAACTCGCCACCTTCAGACCAGCCAGACACTGTCTTTTAAGATTGTTTTTATAAAAAGCAAAATTCACCAAAGGAGAAACCCCGGTGTCCATGTGTCCATAAAGTCATACCTCCCATCTCGCCGTGACACCTGTCCCGGTGTGTCTTGAAAACATACAGATCAAGGGTACAGTGGCTGCTTGTGGCCAAACAGAACCCCAGGCTAGGAAATCTCTTGGTACGAAGCAAAAGCAAGCCCCAACCCTCAGCAACCCAACTCTCCAATAATAGGGAGAAACAGAAGCCGATTCTATACCCGGATGGGTCTGAGGATGAGAATTCAGGGTTTGGGAGCACACCAGGCTCACTGGCTAGTCCTCACGTTCCAATTGGTCTCCAGTGGTCATGCTGGCTGAGGTCAATAGATATTTTCTCTACTGTCTCCAATGAAACCAGCCCTCAGACCTCAGGAGGAGCTGTCTAGCCATAGATTGGTGGCTCAGGCTGACTTTGGAGAAGACCAGTGATTTAACAGACAACTGTCAACACCTCCCCTGGGAAGAGGGACAGACCATGAAACCTCAGAGGTCCACAGGGGTCAGCGAGCCTCCCGAGGACTGAATGATGACAGGATGGTGAGGAGCACCTCCCAGCAGGGAGGAACCTGGATTGGCCTTAAACAGTGAGCAGAACCCAGGCACACCACATCAGAGAGGGCAGCAATGACCCAGCATGACAAGAGCAGACATTCCCACCCACCAGCTCACCCACCCCCGGCTCACCTGGCAGCAGCAACTGGGGCTCAAGAACCTTCTAGGGAGATGGAATGGAAAACCCAAGTTCCATAACCCCTAGTCCATCACCAGTGTCTGGCGAAGACACCCAGCTGCCACACATTTTGCCAATTACTCAGAACTGCTCCTGAGCCTCAGTTTCCCCACATACCAAGGGATGCGTGTTCTCTGTCTCTTTGAGGGCTAATTTGATAATGGACACAAACACCCTGCCCAGCACACAGAGGGAGCTTAGCAGCAGTGGCCGGTTCACAAGCAGGAGGACAATGGCAGCCGGGGGGAACTTGCAACTTACCTTCCCCAGTGGACGGCCAGGTTCTGCCCGATGGACACCAGCAGCCCGGTGGGTCCGTGCTCCCAGATGCACTCCTGGGCCCAGGCCGCCGCAGACTTCTCCAGCTCTTCATCCCAGGTCTACAGGAATAGGAGAAACGGGAGCAGGAGGTCAGGATCAGCACGGGGTGTGACAAGCAAGCTCCAGCGAGCCCAGTCTGGTTTCAGTTGCTGTGACACTGGGTTCCCAACATAGAAAGTGGGAAGCCGCAGGTCTGCAAATGGCCACGGGTGCTGGCTCCAGGGCTGTGACCCTTCTCTCTCAGCCTCAGTGTCTGTGAAATGGGAGAGGCCACACTGAAAGACGCCGCACACTGTGTAGAAGGAAAGGGACCAAGAGTCCTCTGTACACACTGTCGTTAGGAGGCCTGGAAGCCCAGCCTGAGGAGCGCGGCTTCCTTTCCTTGAATGCCTTCGGGTGCACCAGGCCAGGGACTTCATCTGAACCCTTTCACTACATTCTAATAGCAGCCTTTGAAGTAGACATTTTATGCCCATTTCACAGATAAGAAAATCAAGGCTTAGAGAAGCACTGCTGGTTTGCCCAGGATCCCATGGATGGCTGTTTTCAGAACCAGGATTTGAAACCAGGTCTGCAGGAACCTGGAGTCTGTGCTCTCTCCATGAGTAAAGTCATGTCTCAGCAAAGAATGTGATGCCATTTACAGGCCAGGGGATGGAGACCATAAATTTCCCAGGTGGCTCCAGGGTAGGCTAGGAGGGTTTGATCTGGGGGCTGGGGGAGGCAGGGAACCCCCTTGCCAAGCCACCAGCTGTGTGCATGGGGCATTTGATCAGTCACCAGGCTCCCTGGTCCCTGTCCTTTTTCATGAAGCAACTTTGTCTCCCAGCAAGGCTGCTCTCAGACACTGAGAGTGAGGAAGAAAAACTTAAAGGGAAGAGAATGTATTCTGGCCGTGCAGACCTCAGGAAAGGCTGAGGGCTTTGGGGGTTGCAAGGTCTTTCTGCCTCTACTCTGTCCCTTAAGAAACAGCCCCTAGAACAGGGTTGCTCTAACTCCTGGAGCCTTCCTCATAGTGGGTTCAGATTTAAAGGAAAAAAGCAGCCTCACTGGATAGCTAAGTCATACCAAGACCTGTGGACAATGTCTCCTGGGGCCTTCTGAGAGTTCCTTGTTCCTCACTTTCCATCTCCTGCCTCCCACTTGCCCCACCCCTGCCTGAATGAGCTGCCTCCTGACACCTCCTTGCTTCATGCCAGGACCCTCATTCTCCTCCACCGCATGGCAGCAGCCTTTCAAAGTCATAACCATATCCTCAAATGCAGACTCCTCACCTGGCCTCAAAGCCCTGTGTGACTTGCCCCTGCTTGCCTCCCTGACCTCTCCCAATGGCCTCACTCTCAGAAATGGGCCATGCATGATCCCAGGGGCTTTATGAGATCTCTTCTGAAGCTCCAAGCTTCTTTCCCCACTTAAGGACAGAGATTCAGAAGGTGGTGGTGGCTTACAAACCTCTGTTCCCTCCACCCAGAACACCCTTCCTTCAGCAATCACTGAATCATTCTCACTCTGCAGGTCTAAATCCCAATGCCTCTTCCACGGAATGGCCCATCCTGATGCCTCAATTCCAGTCAGGTCTCTCCCACCCCTAATGTTTTTTCTCACAACTTTTCCTATTTCTTCATCAAATTCTGGACAATTCATAATTATGTCTCCTCCAGAATCTAGGACAGTGGCTGGCACACAGAAGGTGCTGCACAAATGCCTCCTGGCCACACGAGCCTGTAGGTTCCGTGAGGACAGACACCTCATCTGTGTTGGCTGCCTTTATATCAACAATCATTGTGTCACGCATACAGGAGGTGCTCAGAAAATACACAGAATTAACCAGTTAATTACATCCCAGGTGTGGAGAAGGCAGGGGTGCAGTGGGCAGCCGCCTCCTACCCACTCATTCAATATTTAGTAAGCACCCCTGTGTGTGGGTTTTGGGGACAGACAGGCTGTCTTTGGATCAAAGCTTCACCATTCACACCTGTGTGGTTTGTGCCGCTCCCTGAAGGGTCACCTGCCTGACCCTGTTGTCTCATCTCACAGCAGTGTGACGCTAGCACTGCTCACTTCCAGGGTTAGACAGGACGCAGGTCTCATGGCGCCCAAGAGCCACTCACACTCATGTCAGGACCCTAGCCTCCCCCAGGCAGGTGTGCCAATGAATGCCTCATCTTTATCAAAGCAATCACAAGGGGGTGTGGTAGATGGGCGCGATCCAAAGACAATGGCTAAGTCCCCCAAAGTAGCCAACACTCAGTCTCTAAGAAGACCTGAAGCTTCTTTTTAAGCCATTCAGAGCAGATGGATGGGCCTATCCCTGCGGTTCTGAAAAGCTGGCCGGGAAGGGAGCTTTCACACTGGAGCTTGAGGGTGAATAGCAACACCCCACAGCCGCACCTGTTAAGCTCACCCATGAGTCCAAGAGGGTTGACCTCAGCTGCCTCCTGTCACCCTTAGCTCCTTCCCAGGTTGGCAAAGGCAGGCTTTGAGATGAGGAGATATAAACAGAGAGGCTATGGCATCTGCCCGGAGTCACACAGCTAGCAAGCAGAGCTGGCTCCTGTCCCTGCATCCAACAGCCATCCGAGGGAGGTTGCGGCCAGAGTCTGCACTCAAAGCCCCGGAGAAATCTACCCTAATTCTCTATACTTTTTGACCTTAAAATTTGCATTGGTATTTTGAAAAAGCGCACATTTCCTCCTAAAATTAGTACAAGCCCTTTGGACTAAATGCCTGCACAATTTTCTTGAGGGAAAAAAGAGGCAGTTCCATAACAAATTCCCAAAGGACAGCCGTGCTCAGTGGGCTCTGCCAGGACGGGAAGCCCACCGGTCCAAGGGCTCGTGTGTCCCAGCCGAGCGGCGATAAGGGGCTCACAGGCACAAGGGTGGTCTCTGCCACAAGGGCCACAGCTGTCAAAGCAAAGCGAGAACCGACAGCTGTGTCCAGAGGGGAGGAGCAGTGTGGTCCGGCCTTGAGGGCAAGGCTCTGGGGAAGGACCGGCCCAAGGAAGGGTGCAGGAGCTGCACCCTGAGAACATCTTCGGGGATGCGGCCGACCTCTCTGGCTGAAGCAAGCTGAGAGGGAGAGTTGCCAAGACAGACAAAGGCTTTCTTCTAAAAGGAGCCCCAGGGGAAAGGCGGTAAGGAAGTGAAGATTTGGGGAGGGAGATAGATGGCAGGATTCAGAATGAGTAAGAAGAACGGCAGGGGAGGCTATTAGCCCCCTCCCCTGCCCAGGGCCCAGGGGTACAGCAGAGGCAGGATGAAGACACAGGGTAGAAAATGCCGGAGAAAGAGTTCCTGGCACCTGGTGGGAGTTAAATTGAATGTGGAGTGGCAGCTGGAACATGGGCCTCAGAGTCAGCCAGGACTGGGTTCAGATCCTGGACCCAGCTGTGACCTCAGTGTCCCAATCTATAAAATGGGGAAATAAGGCCAGGCACGGTGGCTCATGTCTATAATCCTAACACTCTGGGAGGCTCAGGAGTTTGAGACCAGCCTGAGCAAGAGCAAGACCCTGTCTCTAAAATTAGCTGGGTGTTGTGGCAGATGCCTGTAGTCCCAGCTACTAAGGAGGCTGAGGCAAGAGGATCATTTGAGCCCAAGAGTTTGAGTTACTCTAACTCAATAACTCATAACTCAAGCTATGAGTTATTTATTTATAAATAATAAAATAGGAACATAGCAATACCTCGGTCACGGGGCTGGAAGACCAGGGAATGGTTTTGTCAGAGATTACTTTGGGGTAAGGTGTGATTAAAATTTTCTCTCTGGACTATTAGACCAGCCTGGTCCAATTTGGCAGCCACTAGCCACATGCAGCCACTTAATTAACATGAAATCAAGTTTAACACCGAGTTTTGTAGTCACAATGGCCACATTTCAGGTGCTCAGAAAAGCCTCAGCTTTCTTAGCCATAGATGGGGATGACAGACCAACCTCCTGATTGTCACAGTGCTTGGAAAATAGCCATGAATAATGGCTACCACATAAGCCAGGACTCCCTGTCACTAAGAACATCCTCCTGGGTCACGTGGCCTTAGACCAGCAGACATCCCAATAGAAACTTCCACTGGACCCTAGAGATACGTGCGGGAAGAAGGGGCTGGATCCGGAGACTTGGGGTGCTCATTCCACCTCCATGCCTGATCCCGAGGGGACCGCCCTGCCCTTCCTGTGCAGTCTCCTCTTACATACAGCCCATTTCCCTTCAACTCAGCTGCTTGGAGGAGGCATGGCCAGCGCTGCAGGCTGAGGAGGACAGCGTTCCTGCCAGCCTTGTGGTGGCCACTCCTCTCACACTCACGGGAACCATCTGAAGAAGGGCCAAGTGGAAACTGAGGTTTGAATGGGCTATGAAGCCATCAAGGTCACTTAACTAGCATGTGGCTGAGCAGGGACAGGCATCAGCAATACCCTGCCCTTGGCCCTGCCCCTCTGTCTCTGGAGCCTCGAGGGGAGAGGCCGGGCTGGTCCCAGGGCTGAGCCATGAAGGGTGACACGCAGAATTGGAAAGGAGGTAGGCTTGCACGGGAGCATCATTTTGGCCAGGGACCCTCTCTTGCAAGAAGAGACCCCATGCCAGCCACCACCCACTGAGCAGGGGATGGGCGGGGAGCCCAGCTCACCATGTGCTCCATGTTGGAGGCTGGGGGGTGCACCTGGCCACGCAGCTTGTTGTGCAGCATGAGAATCTCCTCCCTGTCCTCCCGGGGGATGGCCCTCCGCACCCGGGAGTGTGGCTCGGCGCGGTATCTGCTGAGCAGCTCCTCCAGGCGGGTGACATTGGGCAGCAGGTAACCCTGGGCTCCGCAGACCAACAACACCAGCCCCAGGGGGATGACAGTGCCCAGGACAGGGCTCATGGCTCCACACGTGTGGTGACAGCAGGTGGCAGGGCAGCCGGGGCTCCCGAGGCGAGGCTGGGCGCTCGAGGCTCTGCGGGGAGAGGACAGTTAGTGAGGGAGCGGCGTGGTGAGGGGCAGCAGTGCTCCATCATGAGACGTGGAAACTGAGGCCCACAGACAGGAATACAGAGTTGGGGTTTACACCAAGCGTTTCCAGCAAGGCGAGCTGTCTGGGTTCTGAAGAGGATACCCTGGGATGGTTCCCTCTGGGGTCTGGCTTTCCTTGGGGGGAGTCACTATATTTCTCTCTCTCTCTCTTATTTTTTTTTTTTGAGACAGAATCTCACTGTGTCACCCTTGGTAGAGTGCCATGGCATCATAGCTCACAGCAACCTCTAGCTCTTGGGCTTAGGCTATTCTCTTGCTTCAGCCTCCCAAGTAGCAGGGACTACAGGTGCCCACCACAATGCTGGCTATTTTTTTCTTTTTTGTTGCAGTTGTCACGTCAATGGTTGGTTAGCAGGCCGGGGCCGGGTTTGAACCCGTCAGCCTTGGTGTAGGTGGCCGGCGCCCTAACCATTGACAGTTGCCGAGCCCGGCGCCGTATTTTGTAACTTGAGTTGGCATTTCTTACTTGGTCGGGGCTCAGGTAGATCTGTGGCACCGATTGACTTCTGTCTTCTGCTACCAGAAAGGATGGATAACATCATTTCACATCGACAGAAGATTTGCTACACACCAGCATTATTAGGGAACTTCTCATCCCTGTGAAGTGAGACTCAGTTTATCAAAAGTGGCAGAAGGGCCCATCAGACCCATCCCTGTACAAGATCCTGTTGTCACGGCCCTCCCGTGATGCGTCAGTGGCCCATACAGGTTATCAGTACACAGGGACCACGTCAGGATGGCCACTTGTCATTGACCACGTCCACATTGGTGTTAGTTAATCTCCCAGAATTTGGCCAGATCTCCTTTGGTTGACAAAACCTACAGCAGGGCTGAGGGGACAGAGGGAAGAGGCGTCCAGTACCCTACGCCTCCATGGTCTCTTCTTGAAGCTGTACTCTCTGAGATATTCCTGCAACCCTATCCCTGACACGTGCTGGGGCTGGGTGGCTGTGGGACATGGCTTCCAGGTCACATTGGGTGCCACTGAGCATGTCTGCAACAAAGAAGTCTCTACTTTTTACTATCCTAGTCTTATAAACTTGCAGACTTTCAAATGCCAAGGTCAGAATGTTATCAGCTGAATTTCTGCTACGTTTCTTCAGAAAACCCTGCATAAGCACCTACACAGCTGGTCACTTATGTCATTTCCAAGCACTGTGACAGCCAGGAGGTTGGTCTGTCATCCTCGTCTACGGATAAGAAGGCTGAGGTTTAGCTGGTGACAGGGTGAGCCTAGACCACCTAGATAGTGGGCGGAAATGCTGAGACTCAAGCTGAAGATTCTGCGGATCCAGAATTGTCCAGCAAGTTCCTTTGGTTCTTATGTCAACTGTCTCACAAACCATAGACCTCCTCTTCCTGGCTGTTGGTCCAGGAAGACGAGGAAGGACTTGAATGCCTACTCCCAAGGGAGGGTTAGCAGCCACCCAGTCACCTGGATTGAGCACTTATTCTGTGCAGAGTGCTGAGACAGAAACTAGGGACATGAAGAGGACACTGCCCCCAGCCTTAAGGAGCTCACAGTTGGGTCAGAGAGATGGAGAAGGAAGCCTGCAGACCCCACATAGCGGGACAGCACTGACTGAGACAGTGCAGAGGTGCCCGGGGCCAAAGGAAGGGGCCCTGCCTTGATGGGAAGGGTGGTGGCCATGCCTGACCCGTCCACAGCTCTAAGGGGCTCAGGTCTTTGAACAGAAGTCTTCCCTGGTCTTCACACACATAACAACAACCAGGATTGTCCTTGTCACAACAGCTGCGATTTGTACAATGGCAGCCAAAGGAGCCATTCCCGGGGTGGACACAAATCAAGGTCAAGACAGGCTTCCCAGGAAGCAGAGAGGCTGGTACCAGAAGGCAGGCGCCGGCCAAAGAGCTATGGGAACGCTGCGGCTCCCGTCTCTGACCCCCTGACATCTCTCCAGGGTCCTGGCCGAGCCTGCGCCTTAGATAAAAATAACCCCACTGCGAAGAGCCGCGGCTTGGCCCGCTTTGTAGTGGTTGAGATGCGGCTGCCCTCCCCAGAAGGCAGAGCCCTGGGGACGCATGGGGAGGACCTCTGTGCACTCCCCACTGGGAATCAAACCAAGAATCCAGAATTCCTCAGAGTCCCTGGTCTCTCTCAGGTCAGTCACACCACCATATATGAACATTTCCAGCTGCAGCAGCTGGGCTCAAAGGGGAGGCCAGAAGACTCTGACGTCGTGTTAACATCTGAGAGAGCAGGAATTGGCTCACTGGGTGTCCCCCAGCATCACAATGACGCCTGATCTGTGTCACTCCGCACTTGAACGCCAGGGTCCCTCAGAGGCATGATGCTTCTGTGACTTTCCTGTGACCCACGTAGATTAAAACCCAGTTCTGATTCAAATGGCCAGTCAGCACAACTCAGAGAGCTGTCAGTGGGGGACAGTGAATAAACTGCAGGGCGGTGGGGGTGGCATATGGTAGAATATCACACAGCGGGTAACAAGGGATGGGCTCAGGCACAGATAAATCTCAAACATGGTGATGAGTTAAAAAAGCAAGTTGCAGAATATCGTGCTAATGATACTACTGATGTCAAGTCAAAATCATATAAACCATATCTTGTAAAATTGTATGTGTACACATGTATATGCACACATACACGTGTCCACATGGTTGTTTGTGGTTCAATATATACACATGGGGGGTGCACGTGTGTACTAAAGCCAGGACTGATTTGGACCAAGTTCATGGTGGGGCCTCTGGGCACCACTGCTGGGGAGGGATAAAGTTCAGCTCTGGACAGTTCCAGCTGTAAGAGAATGAAGATTTTAAGTAGAAAAGTAATCAGAAAAGGGCCAGTCTCCTTCAGGTCTGCACTCCCAGAGCCCAGGGGGGGTGCTTTGCATGGAGAGAACAGGCACATGGTTATGGGCTGAGTCATGTTCCCCTAAATCCACACGCTGAAGCCCCATCTAGCCCTGCAGACCTCAGAAGGTGACTATTTGGAGAAGACCTTGAAAGAGGTGATTAGAGTGAAATGAAGGGCTGTGGGTTGGGTCCTGATCCAATGTGACCAGCATCCCTACGGAAGGGATTAGGACAGAGACACCTACAGGGGGGCGGCCATTGAGGATGTAGGAAAAGCCAGCCGTCGGCAAGCCACAGAGAGGCCTCCGGAGAAACCAGCCCTGCCAGCGCCTTGATCTCGGGCTTCTTCCTGTGTCTAAGCCAGTCTGTGGCACTACCAGGCCTGACAGCCGGGCACACCCAGCAGATAATACTCGGATGAACAGTGCTCCTTCCAAAGACCTCGCTGGCTGCCATACGGAAGGAGGCAAAGGCAAGCCAGTTAGAAGGCGAGGCCACATCCTGGCCAGAAGCCAGCCAGGGCTGCTGTCAAAGAGATAGCCCAGGGGCCGAGGCCCAGCTCAGAGGGATAGTGCCCAGCACCCTTGGTGACACTGGCCATTCAGCCTCCAGCGTCAAACAGATCAACAAAATGGGGCCAACACGTTTCTGCCCTTTTCCACTAAGAACTAGAAAACACAGACTTTTTCCAAATGAGATACACACGCTGTCCAAGACCACCCGGGGCTTACCCCTGCTGAGATGGGGCTCTTGCCGGGGAACCTCTAGGCACGGGGACTCACTCTGGGGGAGACCAACCTGTGCCCATTGCTGTGGGAATGCCTCATCCCCTCTCTCATTCACCCTCCTTATCCAGAGGTTTGGGTTCTATCCCCCCCATTCTACAGACCTGGAGACTGAGGCCTCTGGAATTCACAGACCCTGCCCACAGCAAGCAGGAGATCCAGGGCTGCAGCTCAGCTCTGTCCACACATGTCTTTCTCCTAAGGCCATCCTGTCTTCCCAGGAGTGGGCTCCCTCGGGATTGAAAGCCCCCAACCCTCTCCTGACCCATGCAAGGGAAGAGGCTCCCTCAAACAGAAGTCAAATCCTGCACTAAAGACCTCTAATGCCCCTCTCTGTTTCCTGGGAAGGCTGCCGGGCTTGGTGGCTTCCTGGGTCACACCGTGGCTCTGACAACGAGAAGGCATCAATGTGTCACCCCCACAGATGAAAGATGAAAGAAACCTTTACATCATGGTGACATGTCACCAAAACATGCCCCTCTCAGGGCATCCTCCACCTTCCATCTACCCACACGCCTTTGACTCAAGCGGGATGAGCTGGACTCTGACCCGTGGTGCTCACGGGTGCTCTGCACAGCATCTCCCAGCTGGCCCCAGCTGTTTTCCTAACGTGCTAGAAGAGCTCATGCTTCTGTGGGTCCTCCCAGAGCTCACTTTGGTACTTGGGGAGTGAGGCTGTGCTCTTCTGGTCCCCAATCTCTCCC